CCAGAACTCCCAGTTACTCAACAGGACACAGCTGTGGGGGCAGCCCATGGAGGCCAAGGTCTAGTGGTCGGATGTGCACTTCAGACTTTTTACAACCTTTTCATGCACACACACGATGCCACTGTCAGCTTATCAGCTCCAGCTAGGGGCCCCTCAGAAGACATTGGCAGATGGGTCTGCACTGGAACCTCTGAGTGGCCTCTGCCTTGTGGGCTGGTGGCACTCTCATATTAACCCATCTAGGCCTCAGCGGCTCATCTGTAAAATGGGATTGATTACACGGCACACACATTCTGGCTGTGGGGACTCAGTACAACCTCATGCTTATAGCACTTAGGGCAGGTGCACCCTAAAGTCTGGCTTGTGGGAAATAGCAAACATTAGTGGTTGTGGTCACTGTTGCTGCGGAGCCATGAGGACAGGGGCCACACACTATTCTGGAAGATCCTTGGAGCACCCAACTCCTCTCTGCACTGAATGAGAAGAGGGGACACTTCCCGTACAGGAGCAGCGATCTGTATGAGCCCTGAACCTTGTCCACGTGATGTGTTTCAGTGTAGCCAGAGGAGCACGTGATTCCACCAAGGGTCAAAGTTAAAAAGTCTCCCCTCCTCTTGACAGGAGGGGAGCAAGAAGTAGGAGTTGTGTTCTTTTTAAAAGTAGTTTGTTAAAAAAAAAAATAGGTAGTTTGTTTAAAATGAACAGTCATAGAATGCAAGGCATATCTACCTAAACTTTTCTTTTTTACTAAACATTTAACCTTTCGAATGTAAATAATTTTCACCATCTAAAGCCTGTCACAAAGATAAATTCTTTTTTACTTCTAAATGAGGACATTGCCTGAAATTCTGACCAGTGCTGTGATTACTTTTCAGTCCTTGGGTGGCATGAGGACATGCAGTGGGAAGGGCACAGCATCACATGACCGGCGGATCCCCCAGCAGGGCTAAGGCACCCTCAGTGCCACAGACACCCCCCCCACCCATCGTCCCTGTGTCATCTCCAGTGCAGCTTTCACAGGACTGCCCCAGTCACCAGGAGCACTTGGGCTGTGGTTGTATATTTGAAGGACCACAGAGGCCTTCTGGAGGAGGAGGCCCCCAACCCTGCCTTGGGTTGTCACCCAGGCCACCTGAGGATTTACTGGAAACTGATCAGAAGCTTTTGCCTGAGCAAACTGCCTCTTTTTGTTCAGAATGAAAAGGATACACAAGGGGATCCATTAATGGGGTTACGTGCAGCCTTACCTCTTCTGAGGCACCCCGGGAACACCAGACTCCCTGTGTGGGCCATGGCCCCTAGAGCAGCGAGGCTCCTTCCTCTCCTCCCTGACTCCACCCTGGTGCTTCCTGCAGGCCTGACACGCACAGAGTTGGCGGATCTGATCAAACGTGGGAATAAAAGGGCCTGCTTTCCTTCCGCCTTGCCACTCACCAGCTTTGGGTTCCTCAGCAAGTCCACTGATCCCTCTGAGTTAAGATTTTGGCTTATTGCTTGTTTATTTATAGAACAAAGGAATTAACGTGGCCTGCCGTAGGTAAGGGTGGTGGCGTTGGCCTGGCCTCTGCAGTTCTGCAAGAGAGGAGGACTTGGCCTCAGCTGTCCAGGCAGGAGCCCCGTTCACACTCTCACAGCCCCTGCACTAAGCCTGCTGTCCTTATCCCATTTCACAGATGATTAGAGCCTCACAGATGAAGCTTACTGAGATTAAGTAGCTTTCTGGAGTCATGAATAGCAGATCTCAGGCAGCCCAACTCCAGAACTTTCCTACATAATCCTGCACGGATTGTCATTTCTATTATTTGGGATTTATTTTTCATTCATGAGGAAAGGCAGGCCCAGAGGGGAGGGGAGGTGTCTGCCAGCTCTCACAGCTGCTCTGAGATTCTACTATGTGCCCAAGTCCTGGACGTGGGGGCCTCTGGGGTGGGAACAAGGTGAGGATTACAGAGCAGACACACCCTTCATTGTTACAAGGGGTCAGCCTTCCACCCCACTGGTCCAATGACCTTATCTGCCTGAGCCCCCTAGGTCAGAAGGGTTCAGAGGGTACAGGGACCGAGGAGCCCCAGCTTCCCTGCGAGCTGGAATTTCAGGGTCAGAAAGACTCCTGGCTCTGATATGTCGCTGATTCTGGACTCCGTGCCTGTGGCCCTGACCAGGTTGTAGAAAGACAACAGCTCAGGCACCTGGGAACCTGGATTCAAGTCTACATAGACTGTCCGGTTCCTACATCAGAGACAGAGGCATGCTGGGTAGATGTGGGGCGGGCAGGGAGAGACTGTTCTGGAAACTTGCTTGTCATCTACTTGCCTATTGCATAATCTGCAGGTTCTCAGGGCCTCTGAGAGGCTGAGCAGTCTCAGAAGTCTCAAGGTCAATGGCGTGTGGACCTGAGACTCCACATGCAGACTGGGCGGCACCAGTCATGCGTGGGCATGGGAGCTTGGCAGCAAGATTGCTCCTAACCCTACAGAGTGTCCTGTAAAAGGAGAAGATGCCCCTGCCCTGCCTGAGCCCCAGGGTTCATTGTGATGATCAAATACGGTTCTAATGACAGTAGCAAAGCTTCCCTGGGGGTAACCGGCTTGCCTTCCGCCTCAGCTCGTTGGCTAAGCCCACTCACTTTGACATCACTGTGAAGAACTGATTTCTCTAAAGTTATCATTGTAGACTATATGAAAAACACGTTTTCATTTGTGTGGCAAATAGGGATGAACTCAGTTCATCATAACAGGATGAGGTTAATTAGTGGCCACATCATGACACCTGAAATAGTCTAATTACATAGAAACTTCAGAACCTTCCAAAACAGTGTTTCAGAAGAATCCCTTACTCCAAATAAGAGAATGCACATGGAGAAGGTTGTTTTAAAACTGCAGATTAATACCCCATGGCAACTTTTTCTTTGAAAAACATGGTAGTCGGCCTCATCTTATCTTGGACGTTTACTAAGAGACCCATCTTGTAGGCTGGGACAAAGAGGCCCGTTCAGTGCCACCTGTGCAGACGTCTCACCTGTGCTTAACAGGGTTTGTGAGTGTACACCTGTAGTTTCACCCCCTCCCACTTTCAAACACATTTGGAGAGCCGTTCTCTTCCTCTTGTGAAGTGTGAAGCACTGTTCTGTTCACCTGACTCCTGTGTTTTAAATGTTTCACTAAAGCTCATGTGTAATACAAGGACTAAGACAATTTGTCCTCCAAGAAAGCCAAGCTCTGCTGAAGCGCTGAGCTGAGTGAACACCTGCCCTTCCCATGATGCGACGCCAAGCACACCAATCAATCGCCATGTGAGTCTCTAGGTAGCAATTGTCTGGAATGATTTGTCACCTGCCTGTTTTCTCTTTATTACTTGCCCACATTATCCAAATGTGGTGTAAATTTCACACTTTTAAAGAAAATAAATGTTTCTAGGTGTAAAGTATTTAGAAAATTTTCACTATTAATTAGATTTTTAAAAATACATTAAAAGTTTCATAAATTAACACAGGAGTAACTTTGAATTAGTAGGACTTTCAAGTGGGAGGTAATAGAGAACTGACCTTCCAAAGAACCAGGGCAATTTTGTGACTAAGTATCTGCTTTAAGTGAAATTTAGTAATTGCTCTTTGAACGTCTGTCTTGACTGCCCAACAGTGAGCTTCACGGGAGCAAACAGCCAGGTTAGCCCCACGCGCGCCGGCCACATCACAGATACTCGATGCATATTTCTTGAATGAAAAATGTTATTCCTAAGACACCATGTTAAAAACATAATAAGTAAGAAGGTCATCGACCCTGAGAGCCTTACGAGTGATACATTCTCTGTCCAAAGAGCTGCTGCTCTGCGAATTTATGCCCAGGAAATTCTGCTGCTTTGGGTGATATTCCATCAAGGCGGGAAAGGGGATCATTTTAAAATCATCTCAGTCCTCAACCTGGCTAACTTGTGGGATAGTCAGGCTCAAAAGATTGGGAAGGTGATTTTCTGGGAAAATATCCTACTGGCAGAGAAGGTTGAATTCATTCTGGTGTCTTTTTAAATTTTTTCCTGGTTGGCCACAGTCTTCTCATACAACCAGGGACCACTTCTACCAACCTCTTCCTAAAGGGCTGCCCGACAGCTGTGCTCCTCGTGTGCCAGGCCCTGGCTCTGGAGGGAGTGCCCGCCAGTTACGGTGCCGTAGCCCAGAGCTTCCTCGGCCTCTGCTGGAGTTGTTTGTGGATGGGCCAAGTGCTCCCCCTGGCCAGCTCCACCAACGCCCACCCGCGGTATCTAAGCAGAAGGCTGGTGGATGGGGGAAGGGGGCAGCCAGAACTTGCTGCAACATTTCATTCCATTTTGAATTCACCCACATGCTGTTAAACCAGAAATGCAATATTTAGCCCTTCTGGCATATAGACCGTAGGCCATGGTTTTCATCTTTCTTTGACTTTCTCACATTTAATCTCTTTCTTTCAAAAACCTCATCTTAGAACTTCAAACATGTGGTTTGAGGTTCACATATCAGTATTTTTTTTTTATCCACTCTTGGGTGAGTTATGTCAGCAACAAAAGGTGCAGAGGCCCGAGCCATTCCCGCCAAGGTCTCTCCTCTCTGTGACAGCCCCTGGTCCTGGAAAGGCCAGCTCTGATTCTCTCCGCACCTAGACAGAGCAACCAGGTTGCTCCCGAGGAGAATGAGACCACAGGTGCGAAAGGGCTTCCACCCCTGGAGGGGACATGCACAACCCAGCCCTTTATTATGTCAGGTCACAAGACTGGGTCAGAAGGGTCTGCACACTCAGGCTCATTCTGCCACTTTGGACTCTGCAGAGACTGAAACCTTCCCACCCGTTTCCCCAACTTTGTGGGACAAACTCTTTCCAAGGGCAAGAGTCTATGGAGAACATAGTGCCATGAAAGACAAATGCTATCCCAAGTGACAGTCACTTTACCATGTGATGATGTAGATGAGCCACTCCATTCTCCATGAGTGGAGTGGCGTGGATGTCACCCTGAGGAGATTGAGGCAGAGTTCAGAATAACATCCCGTCCCTGGGACCAGACTCCATCGGCTTCCTCTGCTCCTGCTTCCGCTGGTATCTGGCCTTCTGGTAGAAAATGACAATGACCACGGTGATGACATTGAGGAGAATGACGAGCAGGGTGAGCCAAAATGAGTATCCGTAGCTGTGGGTCACTCCCTGACTGATGGCCATGGGGTACAGGGCACGGAACAGCTCTTCAGAGAGGCGGTTGGCCTGTGTGTTCCCCACAAACAGCACCATGGTCAGAAAAACGAAGAGCACTGGAAAAACAAATGAGTTTCATCAGTGACACGGGGACACATGTGCAATGTCGCTCATTTTCAACAAGTGTGCCACTGGTGTGCCATGAGAGGATCTCGGGTGTGCCTCAACAATTTTTAAGGTTATTAATTGAATTATTTTTTAAACAAGTTCAAAGCACAGTAAGTACTCTTTTTTTTTATCTACATAATTTAAGTGTACTGTGCAAGTTTAACTATAGGCTCAAGAGTGCCGTGAGCTAGAAAAGCATGAAAAGCACCACTCTGGGCATTTGTGGAATGTCCACACTGGTGTGTACACTATTTTAATTAAGAAGGAGAATGTAAAAGAAACTAGAAGGCACAGATTCGATTTCTAGGCACAAAATGCTGAGGATTGTGCAGGGCTGTGTGTGCCAAGAGCAAAGATTTTAGCTCTAGTCCTTGGGGAAGTCCTTGCTGGGCAACTGATCAACCAAATGGCCCACCTCTAGGGCAGGGAGATGTGTAGCAGGTGTGCTGGGGAATGAGCGAATGGATGGTGAGTGAACAGGAGAGTCTTGTGTGGATGGACAAGACCTGGAAAAGAAGTGACAGCGTTGTAGATGGAAGCAGCAGCTTCAACAAAGACCCCTGCTAGGCCTTGTGTCCCCAGCATCCCGGACTTTAAAGATGGGCTCAGCTGCCGGGGAAAGTTCCCCGTGGCCCTAAGCACTGGATGTGGAGATGGGATGGCCTGAGAGAGCCACATATGCCAGGTCAAGAGCTTGGGTTGCCTTCCATACAATCCCATGGGACACGGCATTTAACCAGAAAAATCTCCTTACGAAACTCATTTTAGAAGATAGCTAATTTTTTTATCTTTCCTTTTTCATTCTTCACAACTTCCTCTAGAAGAGAACATTTTTTAGTTCTCCGAATGTTTGCAGACTTTGAAGAGCCACTTGAGTCTGGTTAGAGGAATGTGTTTTGGAGTCAGAGATGTCTGGGCCAAGGGCCCAGCTGGGCCAACTTGGGTGAGGTGTGTGGGTTCTTGGAGACTCTTTCCTCATCTTCTGAGGGGGATGAGAAAGAGATTCCTGGGTGCTGAGGGCAGGGAGTGGGACAAGAGGAGTGAATAGGCAAAGGGCAGGGGGTTCTCTCTGAGATGATGAAATCTGAACCTGACCATGGTGATGCATGCATATGTCTGGGAACCTAATGGAAACCACTGAATTGGATGTGTGTACACTTTAGTGGGTCAAAGATGGTCTGTGAATCATGTCTCAAAAACCTGTTGTAGGACTCATGCCAAGGCAGCTGAGCAGTCTCACCCAGTGGGTCTGACTGGGCACGGGTGGCTTTCGGGAGGTCCCTGGTCAGAAGTCCTTCATGTTCCTCCTCTGCTGATGTGTGCCCAGGACGCCACGGGACTTTTGGTGTCAAATGTGCCCTGCGCTAGCCCACACCCAGGGGTGTTTGCCCGACGGCCCTTCAAGAGGCCCTAATTAGAGGGGTTGCGTGAGAGGATGCTCAACAGTCCCCCATGACAAACTTCATCCGCGCTGTCCTGGTTTTATTTCTTAATAATCTGCAAGTACAAAAGCCCTGGTCCTCTGAAGCACTCTGGGTGCCTTAATTACCCTTCATTTTCCTCTTGTGAAGTTTCTCATAAAAGCTTCATCCCAAAGGGGCGAGATGAGCACAGGGCTGCATATGCATTAATCCCAAAGGGCAAGATGAGTGCAGGGCTGCATACGCATGCCGTTTCTACAGTGGGCTCCCTGAGCTTTGATTTGAGTCGGTAGTAGCCGACACAGACTCAAAAAGCAAATGTGTGTCCTTGCAGGGACAAGATGCCCACAGCCTCTGCCCATTTGACATCTCCAGCTTTCAGGTATAGAGAGTTTTCTGGGGGCTGGAGGACACCCTGGGGCAGACAAGGGGCTTCCCAAGACTCAGGGACACTGGCTTCTGTCCCAGCCTATGACCATCAGGCCGTGTGACACTGTCCACTCTCTGGGTTGCTTGGCTGAGGCACAAATGTATTTAGAACAGACGGCTTGCAAAGTTCTCTCTGGTTCTGACCTTCTCATAGTCCACAGTTACATGCCCTGTGGCCAGGGTCCCTTCCCACCAGTGTGGTGTGGATGGCAGGCACGAGACCCTGGGAGGTGACAGGCGACACTGCTACTTTTCTCCTTGAAGCAGAATGTCAGAAATGAGCTGGGAAACCCACTTCCTCCCCAGCCGGTGTCGGCCAGCCCGGTAGCATTGGATTAGCCCAGCCCCTCGGAGGTTGGCAGCACTTTGCTCTGGCCCCAGGACTCCTAGGTGTCCCCTGCCCTGCCCCAGCCGGCCCTGCAGGGACAAGCTCTTCTATAGGCTGCACCTCCTGGAAACAGTTTCTACTAAATTCTCCAAGCCCTAAAGCTCTGGGGAAGAATAATCACCAGTGAAGAAGATCAGGAGTCCCCCCAGTCCCCCCAAAACAACTCAGGGCAAAGTCTGGCTCATTAAATGAGAGGGGCAAAAGCTGTTCCAAGTCTGTGCTGACCGTGTCCAAACGCAGTCTGTCCCCCCCCCCCCGCCAGCCTCTCAGAAGGTTTCTCTGTCCTCCGCACGGCCTCTCTGTGTGTTGGAACTTGCCCCTGAGCCACTAAAGGAATGTGGCAGGAATCCTCTCCCTGCCACACGGTCCTTTGTTGATAGAAGTAGGCGGGGCTGGGGGGCTGTCTGGTGTCTGGGGTTTCATATTTTCCTGTACAAACATGCGTCGTGCTCTGCCTGTGCGAAGCCACCTGCACTCGGCTGTGCACACAGGAGAGTGGAAGCTGCAGCCGCAGGGAAGCCTGTGGACGCAGCCATGCCGGGCTCTGGGCTCCGGGCTCCGCCTCCCCCACGTCTGGCCCCCACTCTGGTGCTGACACCTGCCTTTCTTCTCAGAGCCTGCTCCTCCTCCCACTCACCCCTGGGCCTGCAGAAGGGCCAGATCCAGCCTCAGCTCAGGCTGGGCAGGTGACCTTAGCCAACCGGTGGTCAATTGATGAATTCAACCCTCCTGGACACAGAATTTGGTGGAGGGATGAGAGGAGGACAATTTTCGCGCAAATCTGCCCAGGACATTCTCTTAATATTTTGGAAGTAAGTCTTTGTGGCTGGTTGGTAGTCAGTCACCTTACCTCCGAGAGGATTGATCTGACTGTTCAGTGACAGCAGACACTGAGGAAATCAAGAGATGCGGTGATGCCATAAATGCATTAATGTATACATGATCTATGTGCTTATGATTTAATAATAAAAAAAGAGATGGGTGATGATAGCAAAGAGGGTCCTCACGACATGGGCCAAGACCCGGATTCAGCCGAGCCTGAAGCCCCTGCTTCTCTTGCTTTCTCTATGACATGAGCAAAAATAAAACAATCTATTTCTTCACCCTGGCAATGACAGCCAATAGGTTTGCCTGTGGTTTGGTTGACTGAGAACTTTAGTCACAGAAATGCTTGGGCAGGAGCCCAGGTCTTTGGGTGCAACATCTGAGTTTGTAACCAAGGTCCCTTGACCTCTGACGCTCGGCTACACTATAAGGAAGAAGCAGTAACATTCATGTGCAGGGCTGCCAAGCCCACCGTGGGTGCCCATCAAACTCGGGGGCTTGTTGTTTTTACTACCAGGGAATGAAAGCACAGAAAGGAAGGAAGGAGCTGGTCATCTGTGACCGAGCCACCCGCCTGACCCGGGAACCCTTGCAGGTGAGGTGTCAGTGTGTGACGTGACCCTGCAGGTTTGCCTGGGATGGTCCCAGTTTCCACCAATGGTCCTGGGTGAATACTTGACAGTCTCCCCTCTCAGGTCTAAAAACACCCTTCGTCCCACACCCTGCAGTGCTGGGGCCACTAGTACCTGTCAGGTCCACCTTCAGTGACCTCACGCAGGGTGCTCAGATGTGTTTACACCATGGGATCCCCCAGTGCTGCCATCAGGGCACTTTTCTTTTTGGCCCCCGCCCCACTGGAGAGCCAACTGTCCTCCCAGGATGGCCCAGTGTGGGGCCTTCCAAAGAGGATGGGACAACACTGCCCACAGTTCCTTCCAAGGCTTCCTGACATTTCTACATCCAAGGCATCTTTCCTGTGCTCAGAAGTTTCTGTCCTGTGTGAGAACATATCACCCGGGATGCAGAGGAAGCCACTCAGGGTCCTCCCCTATGGGATGGCTTCATCCCCAAGGTCTGGTTTCCACGGCAGAGGAGGCAGAGCAGGAGAAACCTGGGTGCCCATGGCAGCAGCTAGTGGGGGCACAGGAACCCACTGGCCCTGCCTCTGGGCAGATGTGGTGGCCACAGAGCCCTGGCCAAGCACAGCAAGAGCCCAAAGCACAGTGAGTGAAAGATGGGGCCCACTTCCCTTCTTGACTCTATCCTTATCTCAGCACCCTGCCCATGACACAGCAAGACAGCCAAGCAGCACCCCACAGCCATGGCCGGGGCTCACAGGCAGCCCCCAAGTAGCGTGTTGGCCCCACCTTCTCTTCATTGACATTATTTGTGGCCCTGTGTCACAGTTGTGCAGACTTGTCCTGTGTGGAACCCAAATGGGCTCTAGTTATATGAAGGCAAAAATCAAACGTGTGTGCACATGTACGCATGTGTGTGGTGTGTGCGTGTGTGTGAGTATGTGCATGTGTCAGGCGTGTGTATATGTGTGCATGTGAGCAAGTGTGCAGGTGTGTGCTCCAGGGCACCACATGGAGCTGGTTTGGAATTAAGCATGCAGTGGGGTCCAGTGAATTTTCTGTTGACTTTTGTGCATTTCATTTGATCCTTATATTAGATTCTCGAAGGCCAAAGCTGGCTCATGTTTCACATACGCCTCCTCACCAGCACATTCCAAACAAAATTCTGTTTCCAGAGATGCTTAGCAAAGGCTGTAGGTTGACAAAAAATGAGCCCGAGACTCCAGGGTAAGAGCCAGGTCCTTGTGGTTTCCACGTGTGAAGATGACTGTGTGCGTTGGCGTGTGGGAGGGAGAGGCAGGGAGAGGGCCCCAAGGGGGCCCACGGGTACTCACCGCCCAGCCCGTTCCAGGTGTACACGCCCACCGGCCCCAGGAACGTCTGGTAGGGGTTGCTGATGCTGTTGTAGAGGGTGAACCCAGAACTCAGCAGCGCAGCGAACAAGCTGAGGACCAGGAACAGGATGGCCACCGAGTGCAGAGTTTTGGGGGAAGAGTTATTCAATATCCCTAAAACTAAAACAATGTTTGATAAGCACACAACACAAAATGCAGATGCCAACTCCAGCCTGGCCCCGTCCCTCTTAGGCTCTTGAGCTAGTGGCTGTCAGATGTCAGTCAGAGAGGCCACCCAAGATCGAGGCCAGCGTCCTCACTGCAAGCCTGTGCTGCGTCTGTGGTTGAAGAGCAGAACCACAGTACTGCAGAGGACTCGGTATCTGTCCCACTTTAAAGTCCCCCAAGGAAGAGCACACCCTCCCTGACACCCACAGGGGTCGGACACCCCTCCCGGGAGTGAGCCCCAGCCCGTGGGCCTTGTCAATGGGCCTTACAGCAATTTCATCATCAACCGTGTCCCTCGTGCTCTGATACTGACTCTGCTTCCACTTGGGGACACTCACAAGGTGGGTCACCCTGAGATCCTGGGCACAGTGAGAAGCCCACAAGCCTTGTGGCTTCTGAGGTACCCATGAGCCAAGATGCGGCCTCAGAGGAGAAAGTGAGGAGAGAAAGGGCCAGCAAGGGGCCCTGGGAGGCAGCAGTGGACCACTGGCTGTGGAGATAAGAAAGTGACCTGTGTCGGTGCACACTGAGGTGTCACCCTGCTGGAATGTCACCCTCACTGGAGCCAGAGGGAGCCCAGGAGAATGCAGCCGTGAGTGAGAGAAGCCCTCAGACTTCTCTCCAAGGTAAGCTCTTCTGAATTCCAACAGCAGTTTGTAAAATTTGCATATTTGTTAAAGACAGAGGAACTCCAGACTGGAAACCACTCTCATGTCAAAGGAAGCAAAGGTGCCCCCCCCCCCCCGGCTGTCAGTCCCAGTTCCTGTTTCTGTGGTTCTCTGGCTTCTTCTGCCCACTGTCCCCTCCATCTGCTCCTATGTCAACAACATGATGGCCAGACAGTGGGGGCCTGACTTACCCAGGCATCGAGGGCCGCAGGGTGCATGGGGCCTGAGGAGGCTGCCCATGTGTTAAACTGTGCACACGGAGACGTTCCCCTGAGCTCACAGGGATGAAGGGAACAGGGGGCCGGGACAAAGATTTCAGAGTCAGTAGTACAACAGCAGCCAATCCCTGGGAGTGAGGTGGGGGCATGAAGCCATGGCAGAGTGGGGAGAACGAGAGAACCCCTCTTCCTTTCCTGTTTCTCAGGTGCCCAGAGAGGGAGCCCCTGAGATGCTCATGTCCTTGCCCCAGAGTTTTAAAGAACAAAAGAACAGAAGGGGCATCCCGTCCATCTCAGACCATCCCAGCTTGGGTGGCACTGCCTCTCATTCCTCCCAGGGCCAGGCTCACCCCCGGGCCACAATAGTGCACAGAGCAGGCAGGGAGCTAGGAGACCCCAGGGTGCCCTGAGCACCCATGGGGGAGGCTAGAGAGGCCACCAGCCCTCCATTCAAGGATAGCCAGACCCTTGGCCTCCCTGCAGCGCCTTCATTGTTTGAAAATTCTCCATTGCATTGAGCCCCACCAGCATCTCTACACATTGCACCCAGGAGACCTCACCGCCCCTGTGGAACAACACAGAATTCACTCGTTCCTCTCCTGCTAGAGGCCTTCCAGATACTCAAGGAGGGATATATGTGACTAATAGCTGTGTCCCTGGAGTGTCCTTGTGGGGGATATTTCTGAGCCCCTGCAAAACCCAGCCCCTGCTTCATGCCAATGCTGTTTCTCAAAGCATGCTGGCTGGGTAGACACAGGACTCCCAGTGAGATGCAGCAGTCCTCGTGGACAGGGGTGTGCCCCCACTCCATGTTTAAGCATCTTGATTCTATTTATCTTTTTTAAAAAAATTAGCAGTATTTCACGAGGGAGAAAAGTTGGCTCTTGCTGGACAGAGAGTTAGCATGAAAGAGATGTGGCCATCACACAAGCCGCTGAGCATCAGAGACATGGCCTCCCAGCTTGGGGCACAGAGGTGTCTTAGTAACGACCCACACCCAGAGAGGGCCAGCGCAGGTCTCCTGGGGGAGCCCAGAGCAGAAGCCCTGACAAGAAATGCCAGGGCCTGGCTGACAGGGAGAGAAGGGGGCAGGAAAGGGACAGGTGGATCCCACCACACGTCTGTCCTTCACCATGGCCACAGGTCCCTTGAAGACCCAGGGCAGAGGGGAGCAGGCGGAGAGGAGAAACAGCCAGCTCAGCGGCAGGGATGACCTCACCGCCCTGGCTGGGGACACGCTGCTCCTCAAGTGGAACTGGGAATTGGGAGCAAAGTTCAGCTGGCACATGTACAGCCCACTTGAGCTCAGTGGGGATGGGACTGTTATGTAATTTCTGTTAATGACCTGTAGGACTTTGGTTAAATTCCTAGCATAGCCGTCTGTGCTATGCAGCCTGGGTAAGAGCTCCACAGGGCGTGGATCCTGCAGCCACCACCTGCTGCCTGGGCTCGGAGGGGTGAGGAGCGACCCTGGGTGAGTGGGGTGGGGGCCACCTGGGCTGGGACTGTCCCTGTCCCTGCCTCTCTGCCCCACTCTGTGGAGACATAGGAGTCAGAGGCCACATTGATGTAATTTAGCACACACCTGTTTTGAAACTTGTGGAAGGTGACAGCAAAGGAGGGGAGGTGGGGAGGCAGCAGTGACAGCTGTAGGTGAGGGACACCCACTCAGGGCTCAGGTGGAGGCTGAGGGTGTTCCCGGCTTCATCCCCATGGATGGGTGGAGGCTGAGGGTGTTTCCTGGCTTCATCCCCCTGGCTCCATCCCCCTGGCTTATATCCCTCTCACCTGCTTCTCCTGGGCAAACAGGAAACCTGGGATCTCATCACAAGTTTGCTGGGGTCTAAATGAACTCTCTCTGTAGCAAAATCTCGTAATCAATAAGAAATAATTTGGTTCCTTAGCTAGGAAATAGAAACTTTAGTGTGAGAATAAAAGGTCCTGGGTCCAGTGCACCTGCAGTGGCTTGGAGTGGGGTCCTGCATTGCACACTCAGTAAGAGCTGGGAATGGGTGCTCATTCATAACTGGTTAGCACCCCACGTTGTCAGAGTAAGGTGGAAAGGGGCAATCAAGTTGAACTTGTTTTTACTTTTGGAAAGAGTTCTAACCATGTGGTTTTCCTGAGGGGAGTCTCTTTGGGGTCTATGGACTCATACTTTTTTATGTATTAAGGAGACAATTTATCTTAATTTTAATTGCTGCACTTTAAAATCATTTTTCAGCTTTCCAAATTCTCTACCACATGGATATGACAGCTGTATCCCCCCGCAGCTCCTGGCTCAGAGCTTGGACAATGAAAGCTGAAAATTCAGTGAAAGTTAGCAAGAATGAAATAACAATAACTCCCCTAGCATCTGACAGCTGCTCTCTGCCTACAAAATTAGCAAATACATGCCGTTCTTGTTCTTCCTTTAGGGGGCAAGCATCTGAATCAGGAAAGCCACCTCCCAATTGGCACTAATTGCCTGGATTCCGGCAGCCGCAGGAAAGAGCCAAGAGCATGTGGCCACAGAGATGAGCTGGTTGTGTGACAAGGGCTCATGGACAGAGTCCGCAGCTGGGAGGCAGGAATGAGCTGCCCGGTGGTGGATGATGTGCAAAAGTGACAGTCGTCTGCATGTCTGCCCCCCCCCACCATGGGCATTTAAACCCTTCGGGTCCCACTGGCCGTATACCCAGAACCCTGAGTTCTGGTTTTCTGCACCCTCAGGCATTGAGGGAGAGCCAGTGTCTTTGTGGGTGGTGGAAACGGCCTCTACTCCCTCCTCAAGCTCCTGGTCACCAGGGAGCTGGGCTGGGTGTGACTCCCAAATGTATGGACTGCAGTGAACCAATGTCACTCAATCTCTCAGTGTGGCCTGGGAGCTCCATGGGGAAGCCCTGGCTGTGCCCCACCCCCTTAGAAAGTTGCCAGGGTGCCCTGGGGGAGAAGAGTGGCTTAAACGCTGGAGGTCACCAGTTTTGCCCTCTCTATTCTCCACTTCCCAGTGTGGTCACATCTCTGGGGACAACTGATATACACAGTCCTCACCAGGAAATGATCCTTCGGCGGATGGGGTGGGAACTCTTTATGAATTCTAGAGAAATAAACTCCATTTGTTCTTCTCTTTGCAATTAATTAGTTTCTGCAGCAGATTTATTTTCCTAATTATTTTTAGCTTGGGCTAATGGTGCAATGTGAGCTCCCTGAGAACACATGGCAGTTGCTGGAGAAGAGAGGCCAGCAGGCCGGGGAAGGCCGAGGGGGAGAAGCTCCACCAGACGGCTGGTTGTAGCAGGTCATTGACTCAAATACAGCCCTCCAAGGCCAGCCAGGTTCATCAGCAAGGTCACGTTCAGAGCTTTCTCCACTAAATTAGTTTAACTTCAAGCAGGCCACATCCAAGTGACTCAGAAACAATACCCAACACAGTGACGCCTGTTGGCCAAACTAGCGCCTGGCTTGGTGGAAGCTGGCAGCTGTCAACCCTGAGTTAGAGTCGCCCAGTTTTTGGATCACCTGGGAAGGTTTTGAAAAGCAAACAGGTAAGCATCTTAGTCCCTGAAGTTTTATTCTGTTGTTCCAGAGGTCAAGCCCTGGGAATCTTTCCAAGCAGCAGGTGACTGTCCTATCAACTGTTTGCAATATGATTGTTCCAGAAACAGAAATACCTTTCGTAAAAACTGTTTTTGTCAAAAAAAGAACAAAACTGTTTTTGTCAACCAGATTCTATAAAAATACATGTTCCGGTCAGCACATTGGCTGAGTAATATCTGAGATGACGTTCTCCAGAGCGCCACATCCTCACTGCAAGTGACTCATTTACCATTCCTGCCGGAGCGAGGAAATAGTACACATCCTGCCCCTTAGGCTGTGACGCTGCGACTGCATTTTCAAAACACAAAGTTAAGGAACGAAGTCTTTGTAAGGGTCCCGTATACATGGCAACCAAGGCCCAAAGCCAAGGAGGGTGAACAGTCACAAGTATGAGCTCGTCTTCCAGGCCCTGTCCTCCAAAGAGACCGTGCAGGTCCATGTTCCCCACCCCATCCCTCGCTGTCGCGGACACTTGCACACACCGTTCCCCCTGAATTTAACTGTGCAGGTTTCCTCTCCCACAAAAGGCTGAGCCTTCCAAGGCTGGGAACTGGGTGCCCCTCCTTTCAGAATCTACAGATTCAGAATCCTCTTGCTCACACAGAGGCTGCTCAGGAAAAGTCCTTTTGGAGAGAACTGAGATATCCAGAACCTTGGGAGCAGCAGACACTCTGCTCACGGCTGAATACGCCGGACCTGTCACTTTTCATCTGGACGTTGGACAAAGTAGGACAAACGTCAGCCTAAGCTGCCCACGCAATCTGGTCACACACTGGAGAATTCCCTTTCTGGGCCTGATTATCTTCCCCACCAGGTGACCTACCAATGGCTGAATGATTCTTGCACTTTGAAATCAGCCATCATCACTTCATTGTGCTCTTTCGTTTCAAAACCTACAGTCAAATTTGTCACAAGGTGATAGATCCTATGCAGAAACGCAGTAGAGCTTTGCAATATTTCTTACCCTTGGGGGATTTTCTGTGTGACCTCATCTTAGTTAGGAGGTTGACACAGTTAACTTCTCAACTGGAGCAGCCAATCCACCACTGCTGGGCAAGAAAATGATATTTAAACAGATTTTATTGTGCTGCCAAAGATTTGTTTCTAATTTGAAATAAGCCCCATGTGGTCATGAGAAAGCATCAGGAGGGCATTGGGGTCTCTCCGTGAGCACTGTGTGGGGTCTTGCTGTGAGCACTGCAGCTCTGCTGTCATGAGCATTTATGGGTTTGGCATGTACCAGGTAGATGTCCTTGACCTTTCCCTATGTCAGAGAACTGCTTACACGTGTGTCAAGTTGAACAATTACCACAATCATGGGCAACAAAGACCCCCAGGTCCTAAGAAATCCTTAAACGGCAACCAGCAGTAATGTGGCAACTTCATTAACTGGGCGACCGTTCACCATTTTCAGTGCTTCGAGGTTGGGGAGTGACTTAGAGGAGGTTAGAACGTGGCTTCCCAGTAACTAAGAGCAGAAACAGAGAGTCAGACAGAGAGAGGGCAAATACTCCACCTCCCCAGCGCTCTGCAGGGCCGCCGTGCCCACTGGGCCTGGCCCCCTCCAGGGTCTCCGTGACTGCACAAACACCGCTGCACTGCCCAGCACGCAGGGCTTCAGAGCCAGGCCCTGACCCGTGCTGGCCTCCTCGGGGCCTCTGCAGGATGGAGACAGCCAGGGTTGCTTTTGAAGCCATTTATCTCAAATTGGAATCAACTGGTTCCAAACAGAAACCACATGAAAACCAAAAAACCTTGTAGGTTTTGTCTATTCTTTTCATTTTCTAAAGGGTGCCTGGGGATTCAGAAACTGGCACACTTTTTGGTTTTGAAAATGCTAACTGAAGGTCTGACTGAGTCTTTGAAAATTGTAGCTTCTAGTTGCTATAAAGCAAATATCCCTCATCCTCACGGGAAGCTGAGGCCAAAAGCACAGGGAGTGTCCCCAAGCAGCTGCTGGAACGCGGAGATGTTGCTCTTGCTAATGTGGAAGGGGCAAATTTGTAAGTTGGAACATAACCATGTTGCTTAAGGAAATCATTTCAGTAACAAAGTCACAGACAAATGAGGGCTAGAACCTAGAGCTGGTGTCTAAGGCTCAGACTCCCACCTTTATGCATTACACAAGGATTATGCATTAATAGCACATTGGTACAAGGTAGAAAGTAATGCCTGTTTATAAGAAGTAATGACTCCGTAACACCCGGTGCCTGCATGACACCTGCATACAACACTGTTCAAAACAGTGGCGTCTAATTTACAACATTGTTTCTAAATTTAGAAAGCATAATGGTAGATACCAAAGTGCAAGAGTCAAATAAGCAACCAAATCAACTCATCAATCTCAATGAATTTTTTTCATTTTCCATCCATCAAGACAAGGGCACTATTACATAAGAGGCCAGGAAAAAAGTTTAGAAATAAACAATAAAATATACAATTGGTAGAATTAATGGACGTGTAATATCATTTCCAACAACAATTTCAGATATTTTGGAGGGAAGAGTGAAAATTCCAGTAAGCTAAACAAATGAATTTGAAAAATAAAAATAAGAAATTGCCCAGGGTTTCCTTGTTTTCCCTGAGTAGATGCCACTTAGGAAATTCTGGACAGAGGTTGTTGCTCCAACTAAAAACTCACAGTCAATACATTTAAAAACAGCTTTCCTATTGGCTATTCAATGCCCTATTGCCACTATGTATTTTTACCTAATTATTTACTTCCCAATATACTTGATAGGTACCATTTAAACATAGCCAAGCCAGAATGACTTAGACTTCTGTGCTAACAGATGTAACCAGAGCTGAGGAAGCTGAAATAATGAGACAGAATTTTCAAAGTTACCAGATAGGTTCATGTCTTTGGCCTCACTCAGAGCTTACAAGTGAATTATTTTTGAATGGTTTTTTGCCTCAGTACAGAATGGCATGAATCTTAATTCAATCTCATTATCCTAACTAAAGAAGTTTATTATTTACCTGCAAAATTTTTGTCTGGTTCTGCAAATCCATGACTGAATTCTTGAGTACCCTTGCCACGGAAAAGGCCGTAGGTGATGAGGACGGTCCCATTTGAAGCAGAGTCTCTAATGGCAATTGTACTGGAGATCCACGCTTGTGTCCCAAGGACAGAGCAGATCACGATGAAAGACCCCAGGCTGGTGAGAAAGCTTGACAAGAACGTCAGTGTTTTCTTTGTTGTAGGCATTTTCTCAGGAAAATAAGTTCCCTAGGGTAAAAACACAAAGGTCTGAGGATATTTTTGGACCTTATCATTTGGAGTCCAGTATTTAGAAATGGAGTCTGATACTTTGTTGTAAAGTATAAACCCTCACTCTTTGTAAGGGTTATGGAAATGAACACTGACCTATGAACATGGTCATAAAGATTTATAGCAGGTGAACTTTGGTCGAGAGTGAGGGGTTGCTATGGTTACAGCCAACCAGCATGAACAAGGGGTAGGCATGGCTTCCCCAAGGACTTCCTCAATCACACAATTAATTTATAACCCCTTGTCAAGCACCATGGAGGCAAGCTTAGCTTACCATGTCAGGACAGGGCTAGAATTCCTAAATAAGAGGGGAGTGGCCTATGTAGCCTCCAAATGTTGATTCTGGCAGTCAACAGCATAAAGCCTTAACTGGTTCAAGAATAGCTTTACTGGGTAGTGATTTGGCCCTTACAATTGTTCCCAAGGGGGAACCGAGAGAGGGTGAACCCTCGTTCACCGTTCATGGTGAACTTTCTTATATTTCACACTCCTGATTTTTATACTTTACTAGAGAGGTGTGTCTTTCAAATTTTCTCCTTTCAATTAGATTATGTTTGTATATTATTTAAATTATAACTTGAGAGGTTTCATCTTCATTAATTTTTAATGCTCTGATGAAAGGGGTTTTGACCATTCTTGCTTCTGGTCCTTGGCTTGTGTCTGTCTCCTCTCTGTTGAGCAGTTGACAGCCTGCGCCTGTCTCTTCTCTGTTGAATAGTTGACAGCCTGCTCCTGTCTCCTCTCTGTTATGTGGCTGACAGCCTGCGCCTGTCTCCTCTCTGTTCAGCGGCTGACAGCCTGACCCTGTCTCCTCTCTGTTATGTGGCTGACAGCCTGCGCCTGTCTC